ATCTTTTGAAAAGAAAAACCTCCCCTACCGTTGGTTTTCAAAACGATGTATAAAACTTCCGAATGGGGTAGGTCGTTAGATGTTAAGGTTGTTTAATATACTAGTAATTTATTACTGGCCTGTAGTAATTCGTTCAGCATGTTTATCAATATACATACACTGTTATAATAGATGAACAAACAGTGCCTCAAGTCATTCAATTGAATTTAATAAAATTAACTTAATTATTTTTGTATAATTTAAATAAATGTAGTAACATTTTATGAATATTCAAATCTAAAATATTATTTAAAATATTGTTTGAATAATACATTATAAGTATAAAATATTATCCGTGTTAAATATGACGAATAATCCTAAACCTTATATTATTTAAAATAAATCTAAGTAAATATATACATATGTATATTAGATAATAATGATCGCGTAGAATGTCAATAAAATAAACTGTTTGTTGTGTCTAAAAAGTGAACTATGTAGTAAATTATAGTTATAGTATAATATTAAAAAAAAAAAAGTTGTGTTTAAATTAAAAGTACCATAAATTTAAAAATTTGTTCATTTTAAAAATCATTGATATTTATATATTTATAATTTTATTTTAATCTATATATATAAAATGACTTGTCCTGAGTGATTATTCATTGCCTAGATGGAACTACTGAAGCTATGAGTATAAAATTTGAACAGTATTTTCATTTTGTGTTGTAGACACTCAATAAAAAAAGATTTTATAATATATGAATGTATAAAGATAATAATTTATTGAAGATAATCATTTTTCGTTCATTTTTTAATTTAAAGAAATTATAAATGGTTCATACTAGTTCTGCATCGATTTATGTATATTATAAATAATGAATTCAAGCAAATATTTGTTAAAGTTAATTATACATATTATAACTTTATAGGTTAGGATAAATTATGCATATTCTATAAGTAAGCAACTGCTAATAATATTATAATAATATCATTTTACTTACTATTTATTATTTATATTTATTTAGATGATCTCAAACTCTCCTAAATTACTATAACATATTTAATTTCAATAAAATTTTTAAGAATAAAAAGTAATATGGTATTTAAGTGCATCTTAATTTAGCAATGTATAAAAATAAAAATATTTACTTTAATTTATCAATCATTAAATATAAAGTATAATTTTATTTTTTTGTATTCTTAATATTTTAGATATGTTTCATTGCGGGAATTTAAAATAAATGAAATAATGACAAAAAGGAAAATATTTTGAGTTATGTAATAAACCATTTTTTATTAAATTAACATAAACAGTAATGGACACTCCAATGGCACTCAGAAATTATTTGTACTTTCTGCTTCGCATAACAGACTAATATCGCTAAATACTTTTCATGATGTATAAAATATTATCGCTAACGATTATCCCATAAATAAATGAAAATGAACATAAACGACATTTTTGAAATGCACTGATATTTTGTATTCAATAAAACAATGTTACATTACAAATATAATTAAAAATGTCACAATAAAATAGTTGAAAACTGCCTGTATAATAAATTATAAAATAATATTATGGTGATAATAAATATTAAAAATTATGTGTAAGGGATTGTCCTTAAACAAAAACAAAAAAATTTTAAAATACATCAAAAAATAAACAAAAAAATTAAAAAAATTAAAATACATCGGAATCAACAAATCAGGGTTATAAATGGTTTCATTTAGATATAATTATAAAAAGAAGCGTGTATAAATTATTATAATTACCATAATTTGTATAAGCTATATTTCTTAATAGATAAGATATAATTTCACTCCAGAATATTTAATAAGATATTTTTACAATGAAATTCATTAAAAATAAAGTATGTACTAGTAGAATACTTTTATTAGCTACATTTTAAATTTGCTATCATTTTAATAACACTATTTTTGTAGAAAAATATGTCAATTAGACTATTAATTTTCTTAATACAGATTAGTTTTCTATAAATACAAGAAAATATATATTTTTATCGGGACAAAACATAGAATGCGTTAATATTTACAAATTACTGTTCAGACCATTTATTGGATTTTAAACGTTTTCAGTTGCTCACACAATCAAATTTTTACAAACGATATTACACATAAAATCTAACCCCGTATTGGTTTTTATTTTCTTATAATATAGAACGTATGATATATAATTATTATATTAAATATTAATTGTTATAATTTGACATTAATTTTTATTGAAAATATTCCTTGTGCCATGTAGACGGGTTTAGATTGCCGTTTTCTTATAAAATTATGAGTTACACGACTATTGGAATTTTAATTTTAAATAATCAGATTGATATTTAATTAGCCCCGTAAACCAGTCGAAATATGGCGGCTAGCATTCACGGTTCGATTGTCTTGGCTTTGTAGTCTCTCATAATAATATCATAATGTGTTCCGGTATAATGCAGCAGCAGATATCTCTTTGTGGTGTGTACTTTGAATCGTTGTTCGATTACATGGAACAGCGGTCTTCTAAGGAACGTCGGGGTCTCCTTGCATCATCAATGGGTCTTTTAGTCAAGGGAAGGGATCTGCCGATTGATATGTTTTTCATACCCCTCCAGTCACGATTATAGCGTCCACGACGACTATCGATTGGTCACTGACTTATCCCCCTCCCCAAACGTTCTTTCAACAGTGGTAAAAACATGGAAGCGCCTACACCCCATCCGGCCTATTCGTGCTCCGACCCTACATTTTTATTTATATTTTCCACCCTTCTATTTTTCATTCCCAAAGGGTCCGTCTATCTAATATTGGTGTCACACAATTTTGTTTGAGTTGTGCAAGACCGTAAAAACACCTGGATTTAACCGCATCTAATCTATATATACATTTTGCAGTATAGATATAGTATGATATGCGCCGTTTGCAAGTCGATCGGTTTTCACTTTAGATTCAGATTTATTGAATTATTAATAATAATGATATCGGCAATGAGTGAATCGTTCAATACTATCGATAAATAGTTATAAACGGTTTAACGTTGATATAATGGAGCTACAACTAGCTATACTTAACACGTGTAAGGCAATTATTCTAATATTTTATGAATGTTATAATATGCATTAGTGTTATTTGATATAATTCCTTGTAGAGTCAATAGTGTATAATTCACCTAAATTGAACGAAAGAAAATACTCGTAACTCATTTTAAGAAAAATTTAAAGTTCGCCAAGATACATATTTTACACTCATTAGTATGAAAAGTTCACCAATAAAAAATATCGTGATTGGTTAAAATATAATAAAAGCTACAACGATAGTTTCAGTTATTCGCTCAATTTATACAATATTTACGGGTTCTAATAGAATCCATTATAATCTTAAAATTAAGTAATTTTATCATTATGAACTTCATATTTTTAAATACTTTAAGTATACCTAGTTTAAAATAATTTAAGTACATACTTTAAAGAAGTACTGTGCCTTATAATAAGTATGTTGTATATTTTAATTACCATAATTTACATAAAATAAATTTTTTAATATTTTAAGTCCTTTATATGATAATTATATAATATAGCACTTTTTTTATTGTTTATCTATGTCTACTTAACATTAAATTATCATTCTTTTGCAATAAGTTCTGAAAACATGAAACATAATTATGTTACTTGTATACATATAATACTGAATTATTATTTATTTATTTTTTATGACTATTTTCAGTAAATATTAATTAGTGTTACTATGTTGGATATGTTAAAATTGTTGTTGTGATATTTTTTTTTAAATATGATCGAAAATACTTAAGTATGGCAACAAAAAATATTACGTGTAAATGTACGCGTTAAATGTCCAAAGAAAACATGACAACTTAAATAATTATGTGATCATTAAAGTAAATGTATTTTATTTACAGCTTAAATGAAGAATGCAATTCGTTGGATTTAAAAAAAAGCCTTATTATAAAAAAACTTGCAGATTGGTTATTGATGACATTTAAAATAAAAAATAAAATATAAACGATAAACACATTTTGATTAAACCATAAATTTTTATTATTTTGATAAGAATATTATTATATTAGTTTTACAATGGTTATATTACCGATATCATAAGCATTTTATATAAAAATAAGAATATGCATATAAAGTAGCAAGGATTTATGGAATTTATCAACGATTTTATGTGTTATAATCAACATTTAAATAATAAATAAATATTTTTTGTTTTTATTTTAGAAACTCGTTCGTATGTGGCTTTAATAAAATACTAATATTGATATTCACTAGAGCTAGACATATAAATACCTATGTACTTATTTTGTGTTTATTCGAAACTGTAAGTGCCCTATTACATACTTTGACTAATGCTACAAAATTAAATTTTAGATACGAGATTCTATATAATTCTAGATTCTCATAAGTACTTATTGAAGATACCATTTATTAATATACGTGTAGTTTAATATGAAACGAAATGTTTTATAGTACGAGTATAACAGAATTTATAACATATACCATCAAAGATAAGCATGTTTTGCAATTTATAATTGAAGATAAGTAAAATTATACAAAACGATAGTATGATATGTATCTGCAATCCTATGTGCATTAAGCATTTCAATGGGTAATTTCCAATACACATAAAATAATATGATAGTAGTTGAAAATGTTCAAGAATTTAAATTATTCCGTTGTTAGAAATCATCGATAAGTAACAACGTATAATTGTACAAATTTGCATACTCTTTGTTACACACTAGTTACTAAAAAATTATAAAATTTATAAATTTTGAAAACGTTATCATACAAAATATTTTCTGTACAAAATTGATTATTAATAAATAGATAAAAAAAAAACAATGTGTACCTACCAATTCCGTATGTTTCTTTTACAAGCAATACAATTTATAAATATAATTTATATTTTTTTAATTCTATCTTCCGAAAATAGACACATATTTTATATCCTAATTTAAATATGTTGGTTCTATCACAAAATATTGTGAACATAATTTTATGATTTTTGTAACTCAATTTATTAAAATACATATTTTATCATTTGTTATTGTACGAGGTCTAATCAAAAAGTATCGAGACTGATACGAGTAATCGTAAACTGGTTTGAGTATGAACTTGCACGTGCTATATTAATCTAACTTTATATTTTGGGAAAATATATTAGACATAGATTAGATTAAAATTGTCCCAGTCGGCTTCTAGGTGCGATTAAGTCAAGTGTGTTTTTACGTCCCGTCGGATTTCATAATGAGCGAAAATACAGAACAACGAGTGTGCATTAAATTTTACCATAAACTGGAAAAAACGGCTACTGAAACCTACCAAATGTTATTGTTAGCTTATGGAAATGAAACCAAGTCCCGTACTCGCGTTTTTGAATGGTTTAAACGATTTAAAGAGGGTAGAATAACTGTTGAAAGTGATGAACGTGAAGGACGCCCATTAACAAGCCGCAATGAGGAAATGATCCAAAAAATACGAACAGCAACACGAGATAACCGTCGTTTGACAATTATGAAACTTAGTAATGAGTTTCAAATTTCATTTGGATCAGATCAAACCATATTAACGACTGTTTTAGACATGAGAAGAGTTGCAGCCAAATTTGTTCCAAACCTGCTCTCAGATGAGCAGAAATAAAATCGAAACAGATCGCCACTGATTTGCTAAAGTGTTCCGAATCTGATGATTTTTTTTTTAAATCAATTATAACTGATGACGAAACTTGGGTATATGGCTACGATCCAGAAACAAAGGTACAATCTTCGCAGTGGAAGACACCTGATTCATCACAACCCAAAAAAGCTCATCAAGTTCGGAGTTAAGTGAAGGTCATTTTGATCGTTTTTTTTTGACTACCAAGGTATTGTTCATCATGAGTATGCTCCAAAAGGACTGACCATAACAAAGGAGTACTACATTGATGTTCTTCGCCGTTTACGAGACGCTATACGAAGAAAAATACCTGAGTTTAAAGAATCTGGTAGTTGGAAATTGCATCACGATAATGCACCAACCCATTCAGCCCATGTTGTGCAGCAATTTTTGGCCAAACATGGTATCCCAGTTGTTTCTCAACCCCCTTATATACCAGACCTAGCTCCATGTGATTTTTTTTTTATTCCCAAAAATAAAAATGGCGCTTAAGGGTAAACGTTTTCAAGATGTAGATGAAATAAAACAAAATGCGACGGAAGAGCTACGAAGAGTTTCTAAAAATGACTTCCACAGGTGTTTTCAAAAATGGCAGGAACGTTGAAGAACATGTATGGACTCAGAAGGAACATACTTTGAAGGAGATTGAATGTAAATAACTTTATCTAATAAATATTTATTTTTTTTTTTTTAACAGTCTCGATACTTTTTGATTAGACCTCGTATTGCTCTGACTCTTAGATATTATTTTAATAACTTTTAGAGAACAGGGTATATACATATATAATAATTATAATATTTATATTGAGTACTTAAAAAAATCTACGAATGGCAACTAACATCAAAAGAAATAATTAAAATAATTATTTTTTGAAACATTATTTTTATACTATTTATTTTAACAGAGTAGTCATGAATGGTATGGTGATTTTGGCTGTATGACATAAGCGCCATAGGAACAAAAATGATCTATCATTTGCGCCAAGATCTGTAAGACATAAGTGCCAATAATAATGTATACCTATTTTACCCGACATATGACATATGACCAAAATTAATATTTTTTATAAGTAGGTAGTTATTTAAAAATTGCTACATTCTTATAAAAATAATATTAAATATTATATTAATATTATCATGTCGATAATAAATTATAATATACATGCAAATCAATATAAATATAATAAATTAATAAATTGGTTTCTATTTTATAAAAAAAAAAAAATGTCGAAAATAAATTATAATATATAATTATATAATATTATAATGTATAAATTGGTTGATTTTTTAATCCTACTCTTTTCACGTATTCTGTACGATTTATTTCACCATCCTGGTATTTCTTCCGTTGAACAATTATTTTTTCGTGAGATATCTTTAATTTATTGATACGAGGAGAGTTCATAAATAAATAAATAAATTCGCTTTGTAATTTTAATAATACATCAATTACTATATGAACGGAACAATGAGCCGCATAAAATTGATCTTTTAAATGTCGATGATATGATTCAGCCGCATTTGTAATTCGTATAACCTCATTATCCGGAATTTCAGTCCAAATTAATATCTGTTATTTAACCGAGGCTCACAGGTACTTACGATTTTGGCGCTTTCGTACGATACAATTTTAGCGCTTTTGTACGATACGACTTTTTTTTTTTTCTTATCTCATTTTGGTGCTTATGTATTTCACTGATGATTTTGGTATGAAGTGCCCCTAAAATTACACAATCCGAAAATTCAAAAATATAATTAGATTTATGAACTAACTAATAAGGTGTTTATTATTTTCTTGTTTCACTGTTAAAACAACAATATATTTGATCATGGATCAACTGGTGCATTATACTTACAAAGTTAAACATTATGATTATTCATTTCAATATATGATACAAAATAGCATACATTTTCATGTCACTTTAATATCACGTACATATAAATCTAACCATTGTACAATATAATTGATAGAACCATAGTTTTAAGTCATACACTAATTCACAGTAAACTTACAATTGAACACCTAAAGATGTTATATCAGTATATATATACGAATATATGTATACAAGTACAACAATACAAACACGACCGGCGGTTTGCTTTTGAAATGGGAAATGGTATATTTCCTGGTACACTCGGCCGACGGCGGCAGAAGTGTGGGTGGTAAGAAGGGAACGCAGCAGCGGTATACGACGGCACCCGGTGTAGTGGCGACGAGGGGTTGTTCTTAAGTTCGGCAATGTCCAAGATTAAACTGTAGGTGACATTAAGGGTGGCGGGTGCGTGTATCACGGCGGGTTAAGGAGTTTGTTAACGTTAAAGTGAACGCGAATAATTAAAGTTGCGGCGGTGTATACGGGAATGCCGAGCAATCAACCAGACTGGACGGCAGCGATGGAACGGTGCAGAGGGGTGCGCGCCGGTCAAAAGGGCCCCGCGGCCGGTTGCCGGACAACTTCGACAATTTCATAATAGACAAGATTCCTCCAAAGTTGCCGACGCGCCTTAAACTTTACGTAAACCCCTTCGCAGCTTCCTACCTCCCAGTACTACACTACCCTTGCAGCCTTGCAGCACAAACATACACACACACGCACACACGCGCTCGCGCTATGACTTTACGAGGTAGCTCGTACTGACCATGTCCGTGCGCATTCGGTAAATTTAAATCAGATTTAATTTATGTGGCAAATTACAAGATCCCTTATATGTGTTTGCGCACGCGCGCTCTTCGGAACACGATCGTGGAAGCCGGTAGGTACTTCCCTGAAGTACGATGGCGTTAGCGACGACCACTGTGGAAACTTTAGAAAACTTTATTCGAACTAAGCATAAAGTGTTTGAGCCGATCGTTTAACGGTAAACAATAGTACAGATAATATAAACATTTTTGTAAATATGAGTGGTTAAATGAATCGTATCTTACCACTACTCTGTTGCTGCCGAATTAAAAACAACCAAGTATAACAAAACCATAATGGCAAGCAAAAAATTCAAGAAATTAAATTTTTTCTCCAAATAGGTGTAAACGCGGTAAATATTATGTCCGGGTGTCAACTGGAAAACACAACTTTACACGTATAGTTAAGATATTTATTATAGCATTTAGAAATCAATGAACTCTAAATGATAAAAAACGTACTCGTTGTATTAGCACACTAATACATTATACATATTACAGTCATGAATATTATATTATGCCTATGGTGTAAGCATGGAATAGTACAGATATCTATAATATGCGAGTACAAAACTGTGAAACACTGATGCATCGTTTATAAAAATAATAAAATAGAGTACATCAGTACACAATGATATAAATACAGAAATATATGATGATTTAAATAATTTAAACATTTTGATATAGTTTACCTTAGATATATAATCAACAGTTATAATACATTCGAAAGCCAAAAAAATTATTTTGGTATTGAAATTAAAAATGTTATTGTTAATAGTTATTGCTGTAACTATGATCAATTTTCAATACTTTTATTATTATTTTTATTAATACATATATATATATAATGTAGCCACCGCAATCATAACGGTATTTATACGATGAATTTGTAAAGTAGCTAATTTCATAAAATTACCAACGCCGTTGTCAAATATATTGATTCGGCAGCCACGATTATTTAAGACTGTCGATTGTCGATTGTAAGAAATTCAATTTCATCAATTGAATAATATTTATGAATAAAATTATAATTTAATTTACCTTATATATACCGTGTGTTCAATTTTGAAGGTAACAAGAAATATTTCGAACGCAAGACCCTGAATTTAATTCGGTTTTTTTTTTACAGGGTACAGGACTTATAAATACATATGTTTTTGATAAATTCTAATTCTTAACTTTTTTTTATCTGTGCATGCGCAGTAAAATAAAAATGTCATAAATAGGAACCATCATTTTTGACACTGGATTTAGTTTGCACTATTTTTTTTGAGCAACTTTGATCTTTACAGTTTTTTAATATGTTCAAAATTGACGTTTTTAAGACGGTCGAAAGTTTAAAATTAGGTAATTCGTATTTATCGCATATATATAATAACTACTTAACGTCTTTAATTTGTCTAATCTTATTTTAATGAATATTTATAACCACGATATATGGGCGATTGTAAATTCCACCAGAATATTGGTTAAGAGAAAAAGGTAATAAAAGGTCAAGTGTAAACTGCGTCAGTTTTTTTTTCTTACCTGTAATGGATATATGTAAACTCGGCCAGTTATTTTTGCACAATGCTCACATTGCCACGTGCCTTCTCAGATTAAATACTTTGACATCAATTGTGATGAATTTTTTTACTGTGATTAAAATTTTAATGTGGACGGTTTTTAATTATTATTATGAAAATATAACTTTATATTATTAGGTATAATGATTATTTATTATGATTTTTTACTATGATTTAAATATTTTATGTGAACGATATGATATTATATAATATTATAATTTTTATTTAATAATATATCATTAATTTTATACTACTACTTGATTTTCTTCACTGGCGGAGTTTACATGTGCTCAATTTTACCTGATTTTTTTAGTAAAAAAAAGGTACTTGTGGAGGAGTTTACCTACGCCCGATAATATACACCTATATATTATACATTCAAGATTTAAATCATGAACACTATATTTCCAATGACATGTTTTTGTTTTTAAATTATACAATTTCATGAATACAAAAACCTTCACTGATTTAGTTAGTAAATCTATTTATAAAATTGCAGAGTATATAAACTGCCAAATAAAACTGAATGATCCGAAAAAAGTCTCGAAAAAAACTTATGTAACTATGTACATACATATAGTGCATAAAGAAAATATAAAAATTAAATTATTACATTTTTAGTAAAAAGTCAAATATGTAATATGTATTCATTCTTTCAATTTCAATAACGATTATATTAATAACACTGCAACAATACTGTATTTTAGTTTTTTTTTATAACAAATATGTATGTTTAGATAATTAATTAACTTATTTGAAATAATTTAAAGAAATTAAAAGATATACAACTTAAAATATTATTAAACTCCCTCTTTAGTGTTATTTAAAATGTACACACATAGATCAAAATTAAATTATTCACATCTTAATTTTTATTTAAATATGTTTAATATTTGGTAAAGCATATTTTATTATGCATAATATCATATTCAGTGCATCGATATCAATAATATAATTAATAATATATAATAATATAAATATATAATAAATGGGTATTATAAATTCTAAATCCAAAAATCTAAGAAAAATGTGTCTATTAAATAACCGAGAAGAATTCGATATAAAAATCAGAGTTATATATTAATTTGAAATACCTACTTATTCCAAAATTAGTTCATATTCTAAAAATTAATCTTCGAAATTGTATTAATTCAAATTATATATTTGGAATTTATTTCAATTATATAAAATTATAATTTAAAAACATAATGTATGCTTTATAATATAAAATACTGTGACTCATAAGTCCTAAAATCTATTCGAACTCCTGTCAAAGTTTACAGAAACCACAACCTTAAGCGACCATTTTACTGGGTAGTTAGATGAAAATTAATTTTCTAACCGCACTCCAACATTCAGAAAATTTAACTTTATTAAATTTTAATAATTCTAGACCAAACTATATTACTTGTAAAATTTTAATTGTTAGAACAATCACTCGGCTGGTATAT